GTCCCTGGGGTGTCTCTACAGCAGACTGAGCAGAGGTCCTGCATTTTGGCAGGATTTGGGGGTTTTTCAGACGTGGTCTTTCTTGATTGTAGCTTGCTTGATGAACTCATGCGCTTGAAACTGTTTGTGCAAGTAGTTGTGGTTTTGGGGAAAAGCCGTACGTGGCCTGTGATTGGAATCTGTGTTTTCCTTCATCTTTTAATAGCCTCCCCACAGGAAACCCAAGTCAGATAATACACCACCTTTCCTGAAATAAACTACTAGCTGAGAATCTGCTCTGTGCCAAAATGTAACAGGAATGGCTGGAGTCTATTTATAATGGTAGAAGTGGTCAGGATTGGGCCTGAGCACTGAAGGAGGTTGAAGACCAGTGGAAGGGGATGGCATTCTGACTGAACTGACCCCAGGGGACACGTGTGGGATCCTATCTGACTCTTGCAAGCACCTGTGCTTCCCATGCAGTGCTGGCAGTGCTGGCCTGGGTGGGCAGTGCTGGCAGGTGTCTCTGTTGCAGGTGGGAAGCGTTCAGTGCCTGGGTGGGACGGGTGCTCTGCGGATTGGTGCAGACTTCCTGAGGCGCTGGTACAACGGCAACAACAACACGGCCACCCCAGTCTACGTCTCCACTCCATCCTGGGGTGAGTGCTGCTCTCAGGGAGCCCTGTGGGTCAGCAAGAGGGAGGCACAGCCCTGCTCCCTGCAGGGGCCAGGGCAGTGAGGGAGCAGCCTTCTCATGTGTGTAAGGGGAGGTGCCGGGGCTGGAGCAGGAAGCTTGCTGGAGATAGGATGTGCTTTTCTGAGAAGTTATTTCTTTCCTCAGAGAACCACAATTCTGTGTTTATGGATGCTGGCTTCAAAGATATTAGAACCTACCACTACTGGGATGCTGCCAAGAGGGGTCTGGATCTCCAGGGGCTGCTGAATGACATGGAGGTGAGTAAAACTGGCATGGGATGGGCTGAGCTTGATGCTGTACTGTCTGTCAGCATCTGCAGCTGGCTAGGCTCTGGTGTGCTGTGCTGGGAAGTGGATCACTGCAAAAGAGGCTGTCATTGCCCAGAACAGCTCCAGGCCTCTCCCTGTGCTGTGAGTGCCCAGTCTGGTCCATGTGTGTGTGTGACCAAGATGTGTTCTTTCCTCAGCAAGCCCCGGAGTTCTCCATTTTCATCCTCCACGCCTGTGCGCACAACCCAACAGGCACAGACCCTACTCCTGACCAGTGGAAGCAGATTGCTGCTGTCATGAAGGTATGGGCTACTGCTGGGGCTAAAGCAATGCTGAGAGGGCAAATAGCTCTTGAACCAGCCAGAGCATTTGCATTTGAAATGGGCGTTGAGGGAATGGCATGAGATGTAGCAGAAGCTGAGGTGTTGAAGGGAGAGGTGGACAACAGAGTGCTGGTTGTCTGTGCGCAGAGGAGAGATGCACTGCAGTTCTTGCTGTGCCTCCAAGTTCTTGTTTTCACACTCTGGAATGAGCTGTAGTGAGGTTTCTCCTGCTGGAAGGATTATCTGCAGGCAGGTGCTGGATAGTAGCACATGAAGTGGTGCACTTCTTATGTCCTCAAATGCAGTTTTCTCCTGCATTGACTTTCATTGACCAGTTTAGTCTTTCTATTCTTTCACCCCAGTAGAAAAAAAGTGTTTCTGTCTGATGTTGCTGTACCATGTTTCCTTTGAAGTCACACAGGAACTCAGTGGTCGTTTTTCCCTCCTACGGGTACTGTGGGGGGTAAAAGAGAGCTTGTGGGGAGGGGATTTCCCTCTAACACTGTTCCTCCTTGCAGCGCCGGAGCCTGTTTCCATTCTTCGACTCAGCGTACCAAGGGTTTGCCTCTGGCAGCCTGGACAAGGATGCCTGGGCTGTGCGATACTTTGTCTCCGAGGGCTTTGAGCTCTTCTGTGCACAGTCGTTTTCCAAGAACTTTGGGCTCTACAGTGAGTGTCTGGCAGTAAGCTGGCCCAGTAGCATCATACCCAGACAGATGGGGCTGGCATGCTGAAGGGTGGGGAATTCTCTGCTTTGCCACGACGTGTGGAACCAACGGCTCACATCTCTTGGCTTGTCCACAGATGAACGTGTGGGGAACCTGACTGTGGTGGGGAAGGATGCAGACAATGTGCAGCGTGTGCTGTCCCAGATGGAGAAGATTGTGCGCACCACTTGGTCCAACCCTCCCTCCCAGGGAGCGCGCATTGTGGCAACTACGCTTTCTTCCCCGCAGCTCTTTGATGAGTGGTACGTGTTGCCGGGGCTGGTGCGAGAGTGCAGGGGTGGGAAGCTGTCTCCCTGAGTGTCAGGCTCGGCCAGATGGCTTCAAACCAAATGGGTGCCCATCCTCATGCTCCGCTTCCTGCCTGCTGCAGGAAGGCCAACGTGAAGACGATGGCAGATCGGGTCTTGCTGATGCGCTCAGAGCTCCGGTCTCGACTGGAGGCCCTTGGCACCCCAGGCACCTGGAACCACATCACAGAGCAGATCGGCATGTTCAGCTTCACGGGCTTGAACCGTAAGTGTCGAGTGGCCTGTTGAAGGGAGGATTGGGTGGGGGCAGTTGTGCTGTGGGTGAGCTGGGCTGAAGCACTGCAAGCAGGAATCTCTCGATCTCGCTGGAGTTTTGGCATCACAGTGTCTGTGACTGGGGAGGGATGAAGCATCACGCATTTTAGTGACCAGTGCTTGAGCTTTTCTGCTTGTTGTGAAAGATTCAAGCATCCCTGACTAGTTCTTTTCTTTGAGCTGTGGGTCACTGCTCTGATCTGATGTCAAATTGTTTCCCCAGCTAAGCAGGTGGAGTACATGGTCAAGGAAAAACACATCTACCTGATGGCTAGTGGGCGCATCAACATGTGTGGTCTAACTACCAAGAACCTGGACTATGTGGCCAAGTCCATCCATGAAGCTGTCACAAAAATCCAATGAAGCACATGAACAACCAAACTTACATGAAGTCACCAAAGCTATAGTGTGTAGTCCATGTCTTTCTCTGCTCATGGCTTGCCTTTTCCCACACCTCTTGGGGTTTAATAAAGATGGGAGCAGTAGCTCAATCAGGGATAATCGTCTTCTGACATTTTTTAAGTGGTCCTTGCACCAGTGCCCCCAGGAGGTGGGGGCAGCATGAGCCACCTTGGCTCTCGTTTCACAACAGCAGCCTGGTCTCCAGGCCCTTAGAGCTGCATCTTTAGCACGTCCAAATCAGCTCCATGTAACTGATCATTTTGATCATGGCAAAGTCTGGTGCCAGTGCAATGCACTGTGTGATAACAGCACAGAGGTTGGGATCTCACATGGCTTGTGAACTAATGTCACTCAGTTGTATTTTGGGGAGGGGTAAAGCTGTTGCTAACTTCTTCTCTCCACCCGTCCCACCCGCTCCTAATTTCTGAGCCTTATACGAGCAAATATTTGTAATTGTGATAATTGCTTCTTTGTGTTGCTGACATGAAATTAAACCTTTGTCTCTGAATGCTACCCCTGCCTTGTGTGATGTCATGTCTTCAAACCACATGAACCTCTCCCCAGGCTGAGGTTGAAGCCTCAACATCCTGGTTTGTCCACTTCCTCAGTTTGTTTCAAGGCTGTCCCTTTTTCTCTCAGGGTGTGTTGCATCTCTGGTGATCACAGCCATTAGTAAAGGGGGAGTCTTACTGGGAGAGTGTTGTTGAGAGCTCCCTGTGACTACGTGAAGCCAACCAGTTCCTCCTGTATTCATCCTGTGTTCTTTCTGCCCCACTGCCCTGTGCTGCCCAGCTCATCCTGCCTGTCTATCTGTCTGTCTGTGATTGCTTTCTGGATGGTCAGGTGTTTCCATCTGGCCATCCCTCCGTGGCCCAGGGCTCCTGACTTGCCCCTCAGGTGTCAAAAAGCAGATCTCTTCTGTTCATCCTTTTCAGCAGGCTCCTGGTGAACCCCCATCTACTCCCACTTGCTTCAGCAGGGCCTGCTAGCAACAGCCTGTGTTTCTGGCACTGAAAAAGAGCTGGGACCATCTGTTTCTGCTCTCTGCAGTCACTGCAGATCTCTTTGTGATCTGACAGAGCGGCCTCCTGACAGGATCTTGTGAAGAAAGGGGGACAGCTCCTTTCCTTGTGTCAGGTAGCAGTAGTCACTGTTACTCTGATGGATTTGCTTGTGCTGCAGCTCAGAGAGAAAAGGCAAAAATGGTGCCTTATTGCCTTGTTGTGTTTGCACAGAATGCATGGGGGTCTCTTGTTCTTTTTTGGACAGTATTTGTATCATATAGGAGAGTGAGACAGAGGCAGTCTTTCTTCCTCTCTGCAAGTGAGGATCTTTTTTTCCTCTTGGTGTCCATTCACAGCAGGGATGGTGAGGAAGTGGTTAAAAGATAACTTCTAGGGGTCATCTCAGGAGGAGTTAATGTCTTTATGATATTTGCTTACACTTCTGCCCTTACAGACCTCCTGGTGTGAAGGCTGGCCCCACCCCATGTGATCAACATTGGTGTTTTCCTAGTCTTACCAACCTTGCTTTTCCTACCAAGTGACCTAAATTTCTCCTTTTCTGTGGTGTAAGCTCATTACCAATTATCCCATTTACCATGGCAACAGAGAACAGATTATTCCTTTCCTCTGTACAACAGCTTTTTATGTATTTGAAAACTTCCTCTCCCCTTCACATCCTTCACCACTAAAGATTAAGTGACTCTATTTCCTTCAGCCTTTGGGGCAGGTTGTTTTCCAGCCCTTGCTTTCCTCTGTCCACTTTTCAATTGCTGTGTGTTTCCTTGGAAGGACAGTGCCCAGACAGGGCTGCAGTTATTCCAGATGAAGTTTTATCAGCATGGGTGGACTATGAGATTTCTGTCCTTATCTGTCAGGCTGTACTGCAGCACGTGTATCCCACTATTGTGTTTGCAATGGCCTGATATTAACTCCCGGTTTTCCCCAGTCCTTGTCTGCACTGCTGGGGCTTATCTCCTGCTTGCCAAGTGCTTTCCAGGCAGCAGGAGTGACAGAGAGCTCAGCTTCACAGCAAGGATTTGGGCAGCACTTGCTGACCGTTCTCTTGCTCCCTGCAGTGAGGCTGAGTCCTGTTATCCAGGCAGCTCTGGCGCTGGGTATGAGGGCAGCCTGGCCTGCTGCCGGGCGTGGTTAGAGAATTTCCCTCTCCCGTGGACACAGAGAGGGCATCGCTCAGGGAAAAATCACTTTTAATGTTGATATCCCCGTTGCGTTGAGCCTCTACAAAAACTACTGACTGGTCTGTCCCACCCCGAAGTCTTGGTGCGAGCCTCCCTCACAGCGGCAGGCGTGTGGAGAGGAGGATGGTCCGATGCAGCATGGAGAGCCCCCTCCCCAGCGAGGGGGCTGCGCTCGGGGGTGAGCGGGGCTCCTTGCCCTGTGCCTGGCAGGGCTTCGGGAGCGCTGGGCCGTGTCCATGGTCAGCGTGAGCGAGGCTGCAAGCCGGCGTGTCACCAGGCACGGCACAAACGTGTGCCGGGCCCTGAGCTGCGCGTGGCACCACCAAAGAGCACATTCTCCTCGGGCTGGAGACCACGTCTTGCAGCACCGGCACCACGGGGCTCCAGGCCCCGCTGGGATGGGGATGGTAAATGATGGTAAAGGGCAGTTCTGGGCTGGGCTGCCCCTCCCTGCACTGCTTGCAGGGATGCCGTGACAGACACTTTTTCACCTTTCCTTTTTCCATCTCTTCCTTGAGACCAGATGCTACCAGGGAGCGGCTCGCAAGGGCAAGGGCCCTCGGACTCCAGCTAACTGGTCCAGGCTGCCTGCGTGGTTCAGCCCTGCCGGGGGCACATCCTTTCTCTCCTGGGGATGGGGCTCTGCACAGATCCTGCAGGGAGGGGCGGCAGGAGCGGGCGGACAGGCAGCGAGCGAGTGCAGACCTCCTGCTGTTGGACACGAGCCTCACGGCAGGAGACCCCCATGCTGCAGACCTGGAAGACACAAGCACAGCCTGGTGCAGGTGGCCAGAGCTTGCCCTCTCTGACCTGCTGCTGCTCAAGCCTGCAGCACCTTTCCTAGCCAAGCTCAGGTGTATGCTGGTGCACACAGTGAAAACATGAGCCAAGGTCTCACTCATCTCTGCCATCCAGGCTGCTGTTGAGAGCAGATCCTGCTCCGTATCCCTTGATCCTGCTCCAGCCCCCACCAACACAAACACATGCATGGGCTCCAAACCCTATTTGGTTTTGCTGCCTGAAACTTATTTTACACTATTTAGACTGAGTGACCTCCCACCTGCTGGGAAAGGAATGTCATAGCCAGAGGCAGGGTCCTACCTCCAGTCTGCATGGGCCTCCAGCACTGTGCTCTGGCCACACTGCTGCTCAGGTGATTAATGGGGCGAGATTGGAGCTTTCCTCTGGCGACTTCTCACCTTCTGACGATGTCCGCTGCTTGCGCCCACCTGCAGCAGCAAGGGTGCTCAGGGCAGGGGTGCTGGGAGCCAAGGGTGCTCAGGGCAGGGGTGCTGGGAGCCAAAGGCGCTCAGGGCAGGGGTGCATAGGGCTGGGCCAGGACCTAGTGGCCGGCTCTGCCTGAGCTAGCCCTAGGTGCAGTTTTGCCTTCTGCTGCGGTACTAACAGGGAACTAGGTTGTCCCCTGTTCCACACCAGCCCCATGCAGGCTGTCCCCAGGACAGGGCTGGGGAACAGCTGACACAGGCAGCAGGGTGCTGAGGCAGAGCTCTCCCCTGGGTGTGCCGTCCCGGGGTCAGGCACTCACTGAGGGATCTCAGCAGCCTCTTGCCCAGTGCCTCCTCAGAGCTGCTCGGCGATGAGCTGGTCCCGGCCTCTCGACCTGGGGACTCTGCTTCCAGGACGGTCCCGCAGCACTCACTGTCTGCAAAAGCCCAGCATGGCTGCAGCACCTCAGGGCACCGTGGCCTCGCCAGCCCCAGGGTCAGGGGTGTGTGCCCCTCAGCCACACTCACTCTGCCGCTTGCTGTTCTCCTCGTTGTCAGCCAGCTCCTCCTGGATGAAGGGGATGCCCTCCATGCGCAGGAACACTGACTCGCTGGGACTGCGCAGCCCCTCAGAGCGGCTGCCTGAAGGGACACAGGGCAGGGAGGTGCTGTGCCCTGGGGCAGGATGTGGCAGAATGCCAGCCATGGCAGCAGGTCCAACTGCCAGGGACCCCGAGGGACACGAGTACAAGGCAATGAAGAATTACATGCTGCACACTGGCAGCTGTGTGGATGTGCAGGCATCCACAGGTGCGTGTGTGCGAATGCCTGCACTGTACAGGAGCCCCACTCCATGTGCAACTGCATCCCAGAGGTGGTGTGTGCATCATGCCAAAGGGCTCCAGCACACACCCCCCTAGGGGACATGAAATGTTGGCCTGTGGCAGGGAAGGAATGCTGTTGGGTGACTCACACATGATGCTGTTCCTCTCATTCAGGAGGGTGGCAGGGTCCTCCTTGGGTGTCTGTGGGGTTCCCCGTGCAGTCGAGGCCTTGGTGGAATCCCTGTCGAAGGCCTCCATGTCAGGGGACTGAGGCGAGCTGTCCATGCGGCTGGCCACCAGCGCGTTGTGGTACTGCTGCCGGGTCACCTGGGCACACAGACGTGCACCCAGCTCAGCGGGCACCGAGCCCCACCGCCACCTCTCGGAGACTTGGTGGCTCCAAACCTCCAGCCAGCAGGAGTAGGTGCAAGACTCCTCAGCACCCACTGGGCACCCACCAGGCTCCTGGGGCACAGTGGGGCAAGAGGGCACCTGGACAGGGGTGGCTAGGGTGGGACAGTCCCTGCCAGCCCTGCCCATACCTTGACGAACTGCACGTCGCAGAGGATGTGCACGGAGTAGTCGGGCGTGTAGATGTTGTTGCTGCTGCTGTGGAGCTGCGTGCTGCTGCCTCCATAGTCCTCCCGGTTGGGGGACTCGGAGCGGTTGAGGCCACTGCAGCGCGACGGTGACCTGTTCACTGCGGGAGGGGACAGCAGAGAGAGGGGCAAACACTCACTCTCGCTCGTGGCGTTGCTTGGGCTCCCAGTGCCGGTGTAGAGCCAAGGTGGACCAGTCACCTCCAGCGGCTGTTCCCCAGGACACGGGGCTGGCAGGGGTCCTGCAGCCTGTCCTCCTCACTGCAGGCTGCTGTGGAGACTGTGCCATGCCAGCCCCACACAAAGGGAGGGGACTAGGCAGGACTCTGACCCGGTGCCAGCAGCAGAGGTTAGGGCTGCCTGCCTGTCACTGACAGCTCTCCTGTTAATGCCGGCCTTCTGCACCACATTTGGCACAGCTTCTCCTGGTTGCAGTCGGCAGGCTGTGAGTATTTGCTTAACCTGTCTCAAGGGCGTGCTGCTGCTCACCCCAACAATGACAGATCAGGAGGAGAGGCTGCCATGGCAAGCTGGTCTGTCACTCACATTGACTGATGGCCTCTGACACACAGCATGATGGATTTTGTCTAGTCAGTGATTTTTTAGGGAACAAAGGCAGCTTGTTCCTTGCATAGATGACGTCGTGCTGACTTTGCTCTGCTGCTAGAATGCCTTTTTATTACCCAGATCAGCAGAAAGCAAGGGGGGCAGGGCAGCAGGCATGCAGGGCTGCAGGTCACCGTCACCAAAAGCAGCAAGCCAAAACCCCAAGAGCTAAGTGCAAGAAATTACAGGAAGTGCACACCAAAGAAGGCCCAAGCCCATGGCTTCCCCTTGTCCCCATCCCATTCTTCCAGGGATTTGCATCATACTGGGGAGGCTGAGGCAGGAGTGCTGGCCCCAGTCTGCCACCAATGCTCCAATCAGTAGGGGTTGCCCGGGGGTGCCGTGGGTACTGCCCAGCATGCAGGGTGAGGGGGTTGGGGCACTGTGGATGGTGCTGGAAAGAGCCTGCCACATGCAGAGGCCTCTGGCCAAAGCCATGCCCTGTTACCTGGAGAGCCAGCCAGGGAGTCCCCTCTGCTGAAGGCGAAAGTACGGGACACTGAGACAGGCACTGCAGAGAGAGGGAGGGAGAAGGAAGGAGGGGACCCAGGGGAAAGGTGAGGGATGGAGGTGAAGGTGGGATACAGACCAAGAGGAAGAATAAGAATCATGTGCCAGCAGTCCTGGGCTGAGCTCCCATTGCTGTCTGAAGCATCCCTTCCCACCCCTTTTACAGCCTCCTGCTTCTGCTCTGGAGAGGTGCTCGCCAGTCCTGGGGACAGGCCACCGGCCGGAATACACACTCGGAAGTTGTGAGGCCACACCTCGGGAGGTGAGGCTAGCAGGGGGGATCTGCTCTTGTCAGGCCTGTCTGCAGAGCCACACAACTTCCTGGAGTCCTGGCATGGCTAGAAAGCATCCTTCCCCCATGAATTAAGTGCTGGCAATTGTCTTTAGCCCTTTACCAGCCATCACCAGGACAGGGGACATTGTGGTCAGCTTATGCCACCTGGGAAATGGGTGGAAGCTAAATCACTGCACTTGGTATCTGGGATGCTTCTGTGTGTGCAGGCACAAGGCAGAGAAGGAATATGATCTGCAAAAGTCGCTGCCCCAGCCCCACAGCTGCAGGCAGGGCTGATAGAAGCTCTTCACGGTGATGCAAAGCAAAGGATTCATGTCAGGCTGCCTGCAGTTCCTTGCAAGGTTCTGGGTCTCAAAAGCCTTCAGGTGATGCCAAGAGCTACCCACTGGGGGCTGATCCTTGCAGGAACTGCAAGAAGCCAGGACTCTGCATCTGGGTCTGCCTGACCCATTGCCACAGAGAAGGTAAACCATAGACACTCACTTTCCATGTTTTATTGCCATGGGTTACAGCAGCAATGACAATTTCTAGGGCAGGTCATTCCCCCTCCCAATGATTTCTGCCCTCAACAGCATCCCTGGGCCATGCCACAGGGAATGGGGAGCACGGAGAGACCACACACAGGGTGAGTGATGCACTCCTTAACACTTGCCAGTCTCTGCTTTCACCACTGCCACTGCCCACCTTGAAAGCAGTGGGAGATGTGAGCCTGCTGGCTGCCAGCCTCTATTCCAGCCATTGCCATGATTCCCCCAGCTGCCAGCCCTCCTGCCCTACCTCCAGCCACTGTGTCCACAGCACAGCTGCAACACTCTAGGAATTATCTGCTGCGGATGTGACTAATGTTTTTAAATTGCTTCAAACGTAACACCCCCAGGAAATTTGCCCTGCAGTCCCCTTTTCTAATCTCCCTGCTGCTCTCCCAGGAATTCCTGTTCTGTGTCCTCCCCTGAATCAAAACGTTCTGCAAATAAAAAAGACACCAGCATGAAGCACTGCTCAGAATGACCTTGTCCTGATGGGAGCAAAGGATGAGTTGATAACCACTAGCACTGACTCCGTGCTCCCACTGCCTGACCCTCCCACACAGCACAGTGCCAAAGATCAGCTGGAGATAAAACAGTTGCATAACAACAGTTAATTAATAACAACCTGGTAAATGTTGTTACTCTAGGCTGATGCCTAAATTCTCAGCTGTGATACTCTATTCACAGTCCTTTCTTCTGGGCTTTCCTTCAAGGAGGAAAGAGGATGCCAGCCTCCACCACAAGGGAGATACCCTGTCACTTCTGCCTCCCAGCCTGCTTCCTTGCTGGCCAGGGGTGTGACACAGGTCATCCCACCGCAGGCAGGAACGGCTGCCTGGCAGAGAGCACCTCATGGCAGTGTCCCGGGCGAGCACTGGGAGCAAGGAGCCCTGAGCAGCAGTGTCCCAGCAGGCGGCACTGCAGACATGCACGGCTGCTCTGACACAGCTCCCGCTGCAGCTCCTGCCCTGCCTGGCGGGCAGCACTCTGCCTGAGCCCCATGGGCCTGTGAGGACTCTCCCCTAGGACACAGGACATTGGGCCATCCAGCAACACCCTGGCAGAAACTGGCCACTTCACTGATTTCCTCTCTCCACCGACTGCACTGTGGACACAGGGCAAAGCAGGAGTGTGCACTGAGGGGTTAACCCATCAGTCCACCAGCCTGACTTTTGCACGGCAGCAGAGCAGGCAGCAGGAAATAGGTGAACTCTAGAGCTGCAGAAAGACTGGGACCCACCAGAGTGAGCCACCTGTCCCAGGAGGCTCCCCCTGTTCACTTAATGACATTCCTCTTTACAGCTCTATAAAGACTGAATTTAGTAGGGCCCTGTTTTGATTAGGCAGGTAGAGCACCTCAGCTTACCATCAGCACTGCAGATCTGACTGCAACATCTGGGGTTTGGATGAGGGATGTGATGGACTGGGATTGAGCAGCACCTCAACCTCACAGGACCAAACACTTGTAGGGGTTATAGCAAAGAAGTGGATACCTCTCAATCTCCCCTAGTCATAGCTCCCTCTCAACTCTTGCAAGCAGGGGATCTGCTTCTTAACCCATCAGCTCTGCAGGCAGGGAATTTATTGGCACTCAGCTAGTTTCCCACCACCACGTGCAAATAGCTCACAGGTAAATCAACCCATCTCTGCAATTCCCAAGCAGTCCAACGTGGGGTCCATGTTCAGGTTGTGCCCTGAGCCTCAGGAAGGCAAATGGGTCTAGAGGTGTTATACTGAGACCTAGAATGAGCACAACACCCACCTTGGGCACTGCCCCTTTCAGCACCAGCCATGCTGGAACCCACCAACAGAGAGCCAGCTTATGGTAGAAACTTCAAAAGGACATCAAAGGGACCTCAAAGGGACCTCCAAGTCACTCTGTGGGGTCTTTGCTGCATCAGCCCCTCAGCATGTTGTGTCTCTGTCTACCTCAGCACAGTCTGAGCTGTTTCTCTTGGGGAGAAAAGCCATCACTCCTCCAGCCAGCCAGTGCAGCAGAGAGGTTTTAGGGCCTCAGCCTGTCGCAAAATACTTACGTAGGAAGGAGGATCCTGCCAGGCTTCCCATTTTTCGCACATCATTTTCTGAAACAACAGTTGGAGGTGTGGGAATGGCAGAGGAAGGGCTCCTGCCCCATGGACTAAAGCAGGGCCACCCCACCCCATGGCCAGCCCCTTCTCCTGGCAGCTGGTTTAGCCTCCATGGATGCTACTGAAGCAAAGGCAGGGCCAGAGGGAGCCCACAGAGGCCTCACCTGAAGAGACAACAGCCATGATGGCAGGCACACCATAGTAGGTGAACGCCCCATTCTCAAACCGCAGTCCTTCCTTGCCGACCTCCACCTGCACTTTCCCCTGGAGGGAGGAGGAAAACCCTCTCAGACAAGCACCCCCTGCTCCTGACCCACCCAGGGCTGCAGGGACCCCTGCCATCCTGTACAAGAGGATGGGCATCTTTGCCGACAGAAGCAGCCTAGAACAAGGTGGCAAAGAGAACACAGGGCCACGCCTGCCACCCTCTGCTTGCTGCTGCCCCAGGCACCTGCAGGATGAGGACAAAGTAGTCGACAGGGCGGTTGCGCTGGTAGAGGTAATGCTCCGCTGCCTTCTTGTTCTTTCGGTCGTACTTGAGCTCCTGGATGACATTGGGGTGCTTCAAGAGCCGCAGCAGGATCTTCTCGGAGAGGTAGGGGGACTTGAAAGGCTCCACTTCTAGAGGGGAGGCAACACACACATGCTGTGTTCAGCAGGAGACTGCTGGGAACCCCTCATCCTCTGAGCTGCAAGCCCTGCTCCTGCAGCCTAAGCACCCACTGCCAAAAGGGGAGCCCAACACAGACCCGCTCTGCTAGGGCAGTGGAATGTCCAGGCTGTAGGTCCAGCGGGTGGAAATTGCTCAGTGGAGGGGAGCCCGACCCAGGAATGGCTTAGGGATGCCCTGTGGGGCTGGTGCTGCAGGACCTGCACAAGGGGAAGTGTACCTGTTGCCATGAACCGATGGGTAGCCAAGAGGAGCTGCGGGGAGATCTTCACCTTCATCTCGCTCTCTGAGAGCCTGAAGATGGAGAAATCCTGGGGCTTGCGTCCCCGGTGGGGAACCCGCTCCTTCTTCCGATTGTCAGCTGCAGGCAGAGCAGAGCGGTCACTCGCAAGGCTGCTGCAGCTGCAGGGCCCCCTGTCACATGCACACGTATGGACAGGCATGTCTGGCTGCACCCTGTGGCAGAGCTGCCGTGGAGCAGCAGATGGAGCTGCGAGGTGCATAAAACCTGCTGTGCATGCAGCCTTGGGAGCAGCTCCCGGGCAAGGAGCAGGACTGTAAACCACACTTATTCCTCAGGAACAAGCCCTGGGTTCTCCAGGCTGGATGCATCACCCAGAGCTGCAAATGAGCTTGGGAACAACTCATTTCATGCCCAACATAGATGTTCCTAGGTCAGGTCCTGCCCATCCACCCACTGCTGATGGTGGTACTTCTCTATCTTGAGCATCCAAGATAGAGACACTTTACCAGCATCTCTCCATCATTCTTGTCTTTCCCATCACAACAGCAAATCACTCTGAGGAAGGACCACAATTTGCTCTGGCCTGTTTCCTACCCACGTCTGTCTGTCTGTGCAGGCTCCCACCCTGGCTCCTGCAACCGCAGTAGCTGCTCGGGACACTAACTGTACAGATCCGTCTCATCCAGGATCTCGGACTTGATGATCTCCTCAATGACATCTTCCAGGGTGACGATGCCCATCACCTCGTAGAACGGGTCTCCTTCCCCTTCATTGTTCACCCGCTGCACGATGGCCAGGTGGGACTTTCCTGCAAGGAAAAGCAGAGTGGCAGTGAGACACCTGGCCTGGTGAGAGGGTTCCCCAGAGTGGTGGGCAGGCAGGTGGGCAGGGTTTGGTGGGAGGCACAGATCACAGCAGACACTGTCACCCAAACCCACCCAAGTGTGCTAACCCAAGGAGAAGGGCTGGACACACAGCCCAGCCTAACAGGGCAGCAGCTGTCCAGACTGATTTGTACATGTAGGCTCTTTTTGGGGCTACCTTCTCTCTTTACCCAGGCTGTGAGTCACTCTGTTGAGCTCTCTGAAAGCCTCCTGTGCAGGAATGAAGAGTACATTACACCATCTCTTCCTTACCCTCAGCTTCATTGACGTGAAACAACTCTTAACAGAGAAATGAGGCAATGTTCTCCAGCACAGAAATGTGAATGTGTCCTTGGCTCTACTGATTTCCCGTATCCTCCTGGTGTTTCTTATTCTGTTGCTAATTATCTTTCCTATTAAATCGCCAGGAACAGCGATTTAATATCTTTAAATCTCATCTTTCTATCCATCACTGTGTAGACCAATACTGAGGTTTTTCATAAAATATGGGCAAAGCCTCCATCTCCTTGAAACAGCAGCTGGTTTTTATGCAGAAACATGAATGTTTGTTTGCAGCTTTCATCCCAGCTCCTGCAGAACTCCTGGGTGAACCATCTGGATGCAGACACTGAACACTTTTCAACCCATCAGCTTGCACCTGAAATTCTTCTCCAAGCCCTGCCATTAACAGCATCTTCTCTATGCTACCTTAAACAGAGTGAGTTCAGGACCTTCAGCTGCAATGATGTTGACTCCTGCTTGGAAGTTCCAGTGCTCCTGGATCACAGTTCCAGCTTCCTCACTTGTCCCTTGTAAGCTGGCAGCTCTGCTGACACATTCTCAAGTTTCTTGGTTTTGGCATACTTGAAACATTTCTATTTGTTTTTGCATGTCCAGCTCTCTGTAAGCTGTTTTGACTTTTTCAACCTCTCCCTTCCTTTACTGGCTGCTCTGATTTATGGTCCTGCTCAGCATCTTGACCAGAACCCAATGTCCAAGCCACAAACAACTTCTGGGTTTCTAGCTCCAACATGTTCTTGGACCTGCCAATGAACAGCACCGGGTTTCTTACTGCCTGTGTGGCTCCCACACTGCCCACCAGTGCACACAGATTCTGAACCTCCAGTTTTACTTAAAAGCACCCTCACTGGCACCACAGCCAAAAACGTCTGCTCCCCCTGTTTGCTCTGCATCCCTGAGGTCTCCTGTTGCAATGCCTGCACAAGCCAGAAGTCCTGCAGAAGTGACCTCTGGGAAGCTGCTAACACCTTATTTCCCCATGGGCTTGGAGTTGAGCTCCTTGGGCAGCAATGGTCACCCAAAATGGGGAAAGGTCCTCTCTGCTATGCAGCTGCCTCTGCATCCACTTCTCCCATAACCCATCCCAACAAGCTCTCCTGCTGCTCCCGACTAGGGATGTGAGCAGCATTCACACATGAAGATGTGACAGGGTGGGCTCCTGCCTGGTGCACAGCTCCTCCCTTGCCTGCAGTGCTTCCCTGCTGGCCACTGCAGAGAGCAGGACAAGCACACCCAGAGAGAGCAGTCCCACAAACACGGCTTGCTGGGATCATGTGACCTTCAAATAACCCTGCCCTGGATCTGAGACGAGCAGATGACATTTCTCAGCTGAAGATCAGCACTATACATTTCTCACAGCAAATCTTGGGCATTTTCCACAGTATAAATTCCCTCCTCCTCATACCAAGCTTTTATTGCAAGATTTCAGAGAGCAGCTCGCTGCCTCCCACGCCTACAGATTTAGAAATGAGAACATAACATTGCAGCAAGTAGCACTGAGATTTGCTTTAAAAAACCCAAAATCAATAGCCCTGGGGCACTGAAAATTCAGCATGTTCTTTAGACTGGGCTATTTCACTCCTTTCATACATAGGTTTGTGCATCTTTTCTGCTCATAAAGCAACACGGCACTTAAGAAGAAAAAAGCAGAGGAGTTGGCTGCAAGACAGCAGCGACAGCTACATTTCATCTTAGCAAAGTCCAGCTTTTGAAAAGGTCTCCTTTGCCAAACTCTGCTCCCAAACACTGGGGCCATCTGGTCTCCTACAAGTCCTTGGGTGAGCGAGGAGGGGGGAAAAGTTATTTCTTTTGGCTGAGAGCTTGTTGTTAACGACATTTACATGCAACCCAAAACCACCAAGCCCTTACAAAAAGCTTAGGTGCTACTTAAAGGCAGTCAGAGAGTGATGGAGGCAATTCTTTTTTTGGCCAAACACCTACATCGACACTGCAATTTACACTAGAAATGTGATTCAAACTCCACACTCACGTAACTGCAAATGAGATTATTTAGAAATAACCCAGCACCATTAGCCTGGAAGGAGACCCATGGCTTCACTGCACTGGGGGCAGAGCCAGTAGGGCTGTTAGAGCAGTCCAGAGTTCTTTATTTTCACAGAAAATAAACACTTGCATTCACACTCCAAACCCCCGGGTTCATGTTTCCAGTCTAATGCCCACACTAGAAATGGAGCAGGTACCAAACAACGGAAAATTGTTGCAGTTCAGTGTGGTTGCCCACACCGAGAGAGCTGATCCCAGCCCATGCTGGCCAGCTGGTGTCCATGTCACAAAAAGTCCTGAATGCCAGCCAGTCCCAGTCCTTTAAGTGAGTGCTGCTCGCAGCTGCTCCCCTCTGGGAGAGGGCTGGCATGCTCCCATTTCCCACCTGAGGGACATGAGATCATTCGCAGAGTTGTGCCCCACCCCCTGACCTGACTGGGTCCTGTATCTCCTCCCATCACCTTTTTAACAGACCCCATAAATTTCGGTGTGGGGATGGCAGGTGCCTTGGCTGTATGGGCATGGCTTGCTCCCTCCTGGGCAATGCTGCCAAGCTCAGCTAGATCCCTCTGCCCAGCCCTGGGAGCTGCTGCACTTGCAGGGGGGGAAAGCAGTGGCCTTTAGAGCTTGTACAAGGGCAGAATCTGGGCAGTGAGATGGGAGCAATGTCTAAGGGAGGGCGGCACAGGGACAGACCTGAGGACACCTGAGGGATCACGTTTGCCTCTGCAGCCATTATCCAGCAGGTCAGCCTCAGTGGCAGCACAACAGAGGGAGGTAAATCATTTAAACAAACCCCCAAACTTGATCTAAAACAGCTTTCAGATCTGTAAAACTGATTCCAAAACCCATGCTATTGTAACTGCTGCTTGATAGCTCAAATGAGATGAATTATAAGGGCGAGCTGCTTCCCCACTAGCAAGCTGTCACATGTAAACTTTACAGGGCTATTGCTGATGCAGGAAAGCACAGTGGAACACTTGAGAATCAAAGCCTTGGTTTGGCAAATGCTAGAACAAATGGGCAATTAACTTCCCTTGTGCGAGCAGCTCTGCCGGCCTCCGCAGGACGGCTCTCGCGCAGGAAGTCTATAGGTGATTAAGTGTCTGCTCAGCATGGGATACAACTGCACTAAATTCTTTATGAGCTACATGAAATCTGCTCTTTTCAAACAACAGCTTCAGTGGAAAGTTAATGCCTCAAAATGCTAAATTACAGAGCTAATATAAACAGCTGAGAGCTTCCAGATGGAACAAGCATCTGAACAGCTATCCGAAGCTTTTATGCCCATTTTTAGGAGCCTTGTTTTTCATAGGCACCTAAATGACCTTGGGCTCATAGATCCACCTCAAAGCATCTTCCCCAATGAGGGAACGGGGTCTGAACACATGGAAATGCCTTGACTTCTGGGAAAGATAGTGCTGCTGGGTTCAAATATAGCCCAGACTACTTCTTTATCATTTTTTATATAGGTAGCCTGTCAGAGGAATGTTAAAGATGTTTTAGCTTTGTCTCTTGTTCCACAGGATGAACATCCTGGGCATGAAAGTAATTTTCCTAAATTTTACAGTAAGATTTGAAGCTGTTATAAGGAGATCAAAGGTACAGGCACAGACCTGTGCCTGAACCATTTACAGCTACAACATGGAAGGCAGAAAAAAAAGAAAAAAAAGAGTAATTTTTAAATAAGGTTGATTTGTGAAACAACCGTGATGTAACTGAAATCTATTTTCTGTGTGCTTTTTTTCAGAGCTCTTCACAGGGACTGCCAGCATCTCCGTGCCCTCTTGCTGACCCGATCTGAAGAAAGTGGGGACCCTGATTTGAACACTTTGAACTGGAAATGTGAGCGTGATCCTGTGTTACCACCACTCTGCACCATGGGTGAAAGCACACATTGTGTCTAGAGGAAATGCACATCCAAGCAGGGGGGAAATAACCAAGAGGGCTGCAGGGCTACACAGCTCTACAGGAATAAGAGCTATGTAAAGGAAAAACTGTAAATCCTAACCTAACCCAGACCTTTCTTGGAGACAAAATCTTCACCTGCTTACATTTTTTTTTTTTTTTGTAGCCTTTATCATAGTCTCTTTTTGTGCTTTTCCTAATCCTTGCTTTTCCTAATCCTAAGGAAAACTGTAAAAAAGATGGAATATTTGGAGTAGCTCATCTATTACCATTGCAGATCAGAAAGGTAAGGAGAAGATTAGAGGGGACACAGAATCTCATCTTCCATTTGTTGTGCAACAGGATCCCGACCTCCTGGGTACCCCACAGCTCAGTGTGAAGGTGCTTTTGACAGCTATAAAGAGGGAAGGGGTGGCAGGGTGCCCTCTCCCCCAAGGACTTGACTCCCTTCTGGCTTTGCTGAATGATCTCAGAGCAGGATCCCTGATCCTGGGATTACTGGGGTGGGTAGAGCAGTCCAGGGTTTACACAGTAAGATTTAGCACAGTTTAGTGGGAAAAGCACAGTAATGTTTCAGGCAGAATTGCAGCATGAGACACTGAGATAATTCTTTGTCTGTCAGCAGCTCACTTGCTCTCAGCCTGGCAGTCACTTTCCAGGGGACATGTAGGTGATAGTTCCTGGGAAAAACTGGCTCCTTAACCCATACAACTGCTTTGGGAGGGCACTGCTTCAGCTCATCAAGATGCCCAGCAGAGTGACTAAAACGCTTGCAGAAATCTCTTGAAGGCTGAGTTAAATTTGAAGCAACACTGTGTGCTTACAACGCCTGCGGGATCAGAAGGATGGTACAAAAAGAAGCTGAAATGGTACTGACCCCAATTCCTGGCAAATGTAAGCACCTTCTCCAGCTACATTCAATCTGCAGAAGTCTAATAGAGGCTATGGAGCATTTTGAAATGTAAAGACAGACCCTAGGGCAGAGCTGTCCTCCACAGGACAGGCTGTTTTCCCTGCTAAGCCTGAAATTTGGGGTTTGGAGCATTTATTTTTAGTAACTCTTAAAAGATGCCAAGCCACAGAAGGCTAATTTGAGTTGCAGCTCAGCCTCTGCCCTGCTGCAGGAAAATGAACATTAAAAGCAAATTTCCACTGTTCCTCTGACAGAGGAAAGTTCCTTGCTGAAAGGTGCCAGTGCTGTATATAGACCCCTCCAGGAAATCAGTCAACAAACCCATCAACAACTTGAGGAAGGGACAAGACTGTGACTTCCCAGAGGCACTACAAAACAAGGAGGTGGACCTCACAGAAGAGGTTTCCAGGAGGAGTTCTGTCACTGGACTGGAGCTGCAGCATGCATTGCTTGGTTATCTTCAAGAAAGGAGGAGAAACAGATTGTATCACCCACTCCATTTCACACTGAATAAATGCATAAAGCCTTCCTCATAGCTCCACATTCCCTAGGTAAAGTTTATCCTACAGAAAGCTCATCTGCCTCCCGACATAGCTGTAGCTTGCTAAATATGGTACAATTATTTTTTTTGGTGTATTAGGTATTTTCTCCTGGGAGCCCAGAATAAAGCCAGGTACTCCAAAGTGTACCAATACAAATTGCCAAGAGATTGTCTCCCAATTTTTTCACTCCTTCAGTATCTTCATCTTTTTTCACCAGGCTGCAGGTGGTAATATTATTGTACTAGTATGTATTTTCTTATTTCTAGTGAAGAGGGGACACATTTTGCCTAGGGTCCTTCACTTAGCACTTCTCAGTTAATGCTGCACAACAATGTATGCCTTCTATAAACTGTGTCTAGTTTCCCTGAAAAGATGGCAAATTGGGTGTCCAGCCCGCATTATTTGAGTTCTTTTTGCTGAGAAGATGAAGTCAAAACCATATTGCAGCACAAATATTTTCTTCCTTCAGCTGAACCTGTCTCACGCTGCTGTAAGGTTGTTTTTCTACACGGTTTTTGCAGACTGCCCCTCTGGTACTGTTTGTAGTCTTCTCTGGGTTTTTCCCAGTTCCCACTGGGACCCCCAATCTAACCACCTCTCTGCAGGAATCAGTACTGAAAGAGAAATCAAACAATGGCTGCAGCAGCAGGGTTGTGAAAGGGCAGAGGTGAAGAGTTTGACCAGTTCTGCTGTGGTGGAGCAGGGGCCAGGTTTTGCTAACCAGGAGCTCACAGCTCTCTTGGGCACCGTAACCACACTGGGCCAGTGGCTCCCTGGGTGCTACTGAGTGTGTGCTACCATTTAATGCAATTTAAATGGTAATTTACATGGAAAGCCGATGCTACAGGTCTGTGGAAGGTAACCCCTCCCACACAAGGTCCTGCTGGGGGAGAGGCAGTTTGTGACACATCTGTGGATTAAAATCAAGGTAAACACCAATGCATCTTAATGGAACTGCACTCAAACGAGGTTAGTGTGAGCATACCTAGAAACAAATGAAGGAAAGCTTCCCCTCAAACCCTGCTATAGAAAACCAAAGAGGAAAAAAGGCTGATTATCTTCATAGCTGGGGCAGAACAGCAAGAGAAAAGAAATGCCTCAGGTTAACAAGGACAATAGTGAGATATCGGTGAGTAGGAGACAGAAAATGAAAGTGCTGTCAGAGGTGTGAGCAAGAGTTCCAAAGCACTGTATTTAATAATCCCTTGACATTTTCAGTAAGAAAGAACAAATGTTTGTGTACTGTGGCAAGGAGCTCTGGCAGTGAAATTGTGTTACTTATACATTATGCAAAAAAATGACAGTATGGGTATAGTGGATGTGGCAGAACACTAATCATTAGTGAAACAGATCAGAAGTACACATTGCTATCCAAGGCAGAAGGTTATAAAATGTTACAGGAATTTTGTATAAACATTATAATAACAAAAAGAAATAAAAGATACAAAAATTGTTTGAGTTAGTCATGAGAAAAGGAAAGAAAAGCTGGCTTTTCTAAAGGCTTGTGAGGGCCATAAGGACCTGGAGGTGGTTATTTATGCCCATCCTTACCAGAGACTTTAATTTCCTAGAAAGAGGCTGGGCTTTATCAGTGGGAGCATTTGCTGTCCTGCAGGCACCTTGGATGTGTGAAGTGATGAATGCCTTCATTAAACACTTGCTGAGCCAACAAGCAATCAACCTACTTTCTAATTAGTGAAGGTGTCTCAGAAGACCTGGCCACGGAAAGCAACCTTGATTGGATCAAACAAGATACTTCACCATAATTCAAATGGACACAGAAAATAAGACAGTGATAAAGATTCTTAATTACAAACGGGAAATCTTTATTTTAGAAATTAAATAGTCAAGTGAACAGGGCTGACGCAGCAGTGGATGGGCTGAAGGCATCTGGGAGCTAACATCTGTCACAGTGTGGGAGCCAGCATGAGAACCTGTATTGGGAACTGGAAAAATACAGTTTAGGAGGGTTCAGGGCTGGACTGGGGGGGAACTGTTTGAAAATTCAGGGTGCCAGGGGTGACCAAATGCCTACAAATATAGGAAAGATGAATCAGAAGAAAACATCAACTCTTGGGAAGAAGAACATTTGGGGGAAGAGCTGGAATTGCTAAACCCCATGCAGAGTTAGATATGAAGTCCAAAAGCAAGGCTTTTCAGCCATATAGTTTAGAAAATTCTGACAAGGAGAAGTGAGGTAGGAGTAGATAATGGGTTTAGGGAGAGCTCTGAATAGGGGCTGTAGCAAAACACCCCAGAAGGTCACAGTGGCAGACAGATACAAAGGAGGAAGAACATGAAGTGATATGCCAAGAGTTTAAAGGAGCAATGTTAAAGAAGGATGGATAATCTTCATCTGAGATGAAGACCAGCATATGAAAGTGCAGGGCAGGTAGCAAGGTTTGTTACCACACCCATGAGCTCACAGAGCAGCACACACCAACCAGCTCTGTTTAAGGAGGGCACAGAGGACAGCAAGCAAGGGGCAGGGAACTAAGCAACCACAAGCCCATTTTTATAGGTCTATTGATCCATAGGATACCATGCTGTTGAAGAAATTTGGAAGGGGATCTGTATCAAAGTAAATCATATAAATCGCAGGAGAACCTAACCAAGAGAGTGGGTGCCAAAATCATCTGACATCCCTAGACAAGAGAGAGGTAGAAGAGACCTCAGGTGAACTTCAGTGCTATTGCAGGAAAACACAGTTAGGAAGGAACTGCAAAGCACATAAGGAATTAGGTAGAGACAGCTGGCATGGGGGGAAGGGGGCAGGCATGGACTACTGCAGTTCACCAAGGTTGAACCCAGAGAACAATCTCAATGCTTTTGCTAACAGCCTTGTATAAAACCCGGGAATTTTCTGATTCTCTCCATTGGGAGTCTTCAGTCCTGCTGAGAGGCAGAGAGGGCAGGAGGTGGCACACAGAACTCCCCTGCCTGTGATCCTGAGCGGTGTGGGAACACAGCCGAACATCTCTGGAGAAGATGCTGACCTGCATGTACCTGATGAGCACATTCCTGGCACACTGAGAAATGTCCTACCCTCTCTTCCTCCCACCTCCACAAACGAGCAGGAGATGACTCACAGAGAGGCTTCCTCTGTGTCTGGAGTGGACCAGGTTGGCCTTTCTCATGTGACCAGCCCTGCCTGCGGCAGAGCGGCGCCAGGCAGCCCAGGAGCCAAGCGCTGCCCTCACGCATTACATAATGCAGCATGCCACTGCTGCAGCCATTTCTTAGACTCACCACAGCATGACGTAGCGAGTAGCACGCGGCAAAACACAGCTCCCAGTGGGAGAGAAAAACACATGCTGTGCGTATTCTCAAGGTATGCTTAATGAAATACAGCTCTCAGCATCTCTGGGGCTGCTGGCAGCTGCGGCATTATGAATGCTGTCACAGCTGCAAAAAAAGTACAGCTCTTTCTAAGGGCTTAATCTTTTCTTCTTTCTTTAAATCACTTGCATAGAAACACTTTATAGACCTCGTTCTCACTGCTAAGCTGAAAATGTGAAAGCTAAGTCATGAGAGGCGATTTCCTGTCATAAACTCCTTCGCACAGAACAGAGCAGCGAATGCTGTCTGGGCAACGGTGCAAGGCAGGTGCCATGCCCATGCTGCCAGGCCCCTGCTGCCATCAGCCCCTGGGGGACAGGCTCACCTGCTGAGCCGGCAACCTGTGAGGCCAAAGGCTCTAACAGTCTTCATAACATCACAGGTACATCAAGGGCTGCTGGCCCTCAATCCACCCGGGGATGTTCCACCAGGGGACACCACGGCCATCCACACACCAGCACATGCAGGGACCGATTCCCCCCAGCATCCGTGGTACCTGCCAGGAGGCCATGCAGGGCTGCCCGCGGAGGCTGCTGACCTGGAAATCATTGGGGGTGCAGAGGGGGGCAGGGGAAGCCCGGGGGGATGCGGAGAGTGGCCCGGTGACCTCACCCTTCTTGAACTCCTCCAGCAGCGTGTCGAGGCGAGTGTCATTGAAGACGCAGTGGAGCGGCCGGCGGTAGAAGCGGGTGACAGTCTGCAGGGGAGTGCAGTCATCAGGGTCGACAAAGGCCAGGTCTTTGACAAAGAGCAGGTCGACAATGTTGTCGCGCCGGTCACCCTCATAGACTGGAATGCGAGTGTAGCCAGATCGGAGGATCTCAGAGACGGTGGCGAAGTCCAGCACAGCATCGGCCCGGAGCATGAAGCAGTCGGCCAGCGGTGTCAGCACATCCTCCACCACCTTGGTGCGTAGCTCCAGCGCGCCCTGCACCATGGCCAGCTCCTCCCGCACCAGGTCGCCGTGGGGGCCAGCGGCGCGCAGCGTCTCCAGCAGCCGCTCCCGCGTAGAGAAGACGCTGAGCTCCTGCCGCAGCGCCCAGTCCAGCAACCGGCTGAGCGGGTAGCACAGGGGGAAGGCGGCCAGCATCAGCAGCCGGGTGAGGCAGAGCGTGCGGGAGGCGATGGCCAGCCCGTGCCGCGAGCACACCGAGTAGGGCAGCACCTCGCCGCCCAGGAAGACGGCGGCGGTGCACAGCAGCACCGGCAGCCAGGGCGCTCCCCGCGGCCCGCCGGCCGCCGCCGCCGGCCCGCCGCCGGGCAGCGAGGCGCAGAGCCAGCCGGCCAGCGCCGCGTTGGCCCCCGCCTGCCCCAGCAGGAGCGTGCACAGCAGGTAGGTGCCGCCGCCGCCGCGCACCGCCTGCACCCGCCGCGCCTGCTCCCGCTCGGCGGCCGAGCCGCTGTTGCGCAGGACGCGGAGCTCCAGCGGGTCCAGCGAGAGCAGCGAGAGGCGCAGCCCGCTGAACAGCGCCGACAGCCCCAGCAGCAGCAGGGCGCCCAGCGCCCGCAGCCAGCCCGCCTCGGGCAGCGGCAGCAGCCAAGTGCCCAGCGGCGGGGGGGCCCTCGGGCAGCGGCAGCAGCCAAGTGCCGAGCGGCGGGGCGGCCGGCCGCACCCGCAGCAAGAAGCCGCCCGCCGCACCGTGGTGCGCCCAGGCCCGCCCGTCCCAGGCGCACAGCGAGAAGAGCCGCCCGCCCGGCGCCGCCGCCGCCTCGCCCTTGCGCGGCTCCCGCACCCGCACCTCGGCCAGCGCCGAGCCCGCCGCGCCGCCCGAGCGCAGCGGCCCCACCACCTCCACGTCCGAGGCCCAGGCGCTGCGCTCCCGGCACCGCTCCGCCGGGCCCCGCGCCGCCGTGCTCCCCGCCGCCGCCTCTTCGATGAAGACCAGCCGCGGCTCCCGCTCCCCCGCCGGCCCGCGGCTGCCGTTGCCCTCGGGCGGCGGCTGGAAGTAGAGGCGCAGGAGGAAGCGGCTGCCCTCCGCCGCCTGCACCGCGCCGCCCTCCAGAGACACCCGGCCCGGCGTCGTGTCCTCGGGCCGCAGCCCCAGCAGCCAGGCGGCCGCGGCCGGCGGCCGCGGCGACAGCGAGAAGAAGAGCAGCAGCACGGCGCCCCGGCTTCGGCCCCAGCTGCCGCCGCGGGAGGGGCCGGCGGAGCGGGGCCGCCGACCGGGACCGCCAACCGGGACGCTGCGCAGGGGACCGAGGAGCTCGCCCGCCCGCCCCGAGCGGGAGCATCCCCGCGGCGGGCCGCACCGCCGCTCTCTCCGCACCTGGTGAGATGCTGGCGGATCCGCGGCGGAGACCGGCGGCGGTGACACGGGCGGTGACACGGGCAGCCCCCAGCCCTGGCAGGCAGGGTGGGCTGCGGGCCCGAGCAGCGAGCTCTGCCCAGCCAGCCGCCCGCTCCGCTGCCCTCCCAGGTACACTGCCTGCGGGTCGCGGTGCGGGGGCTGCGCCTCCCCCGCGCTGCGCGGTCGGGGTTTGCTGAGGGGCTTCTGCCAGCGGTCTCTGAAGCTGGAATTTATATCCAGCTTCCCTCTGTTATCTGTCGAGGCCCTACTCTTCAGCTTTTCAGTTCAGATTCATTTCTCTTCTTCCCGTGGGAGTGGTTTGATTTTTTTGTTTGTTTGGGTTTTTTTTTTTTTTTTCAATGGGGAGTGGGTAGTCGTTAGATTTGGAGTCTTTCTAGGAAACAAATGTACCACACTGTAGCTACATTTGTTCTCATGTCTAGACCTGATGGGGAATGTTGCTAGAGTTTATCAGCCTCAGAAGTATGTGCTCAAGAATGCACTTAGGGACTCCTTAAACTTTTGTGTCTTCCCTGGACCAACATTCATGACAAACCTGAAACGAGGCTGGAGAACTGGAAAGCAGTTGCTTACAACTGCAACAGGCTCAGTAGTGGCAAAGCAATAAGCTAGAAAATGTCATGGAGGCAAAGGAAGTGCCCGAAAAATTCTGATTATTCACTCATTATTGCTCCCATGAAAATAGGTCATTTTCTGTGTCAGTATGTCAGCAGGCAGACAGGCATGAAAAGCTACCAGGGGGATCTGTGCTTCTTTCTGTTACAAGAGACTCTTCTCTCTCTCTCTGCGAAATGCAGCTATTTTTTTTTCCAAGTGATGAATTTACTGGGGGTTCACAGGGCTGTGTGCTGATTCCCACTTTCTAACTCCCCTTTAGTACCACTGGGAAATATTACCTGGTGCTCTGTTCACAGGGCTGTGTGCTGCTTCACATGCTTCTGCTGATTCCCACTTTCTAACTCCCCTTTAGTACCACTGGGAAATATTACCTGGTGCTCTACCTGGGCATAATTGATGAAGGAGCCACCTGGTAACCTGCTTGTGCAGACCTAGCCCCAGGTTATGGTGCCTGAGGGACAGATCTCACAAGCTGCCCTAAGCAGCACCCAGAGTGACTCGGGACCTGCTTCTGCCATCCTGCCTGCAAGGTGGGGGATGAGCACATGGCTGCTCCTTCTTTATTAGGACCTTGTGGGAACTACTGGCTGAGATCATCCCATATTTTAGCAATGGCAGGCTGTCATCAGCCCTGAATTTCTCACAGACTTCTTGGTGCTGAGAATATTGTAAAGACACAGTATTGTAAAGGGCTTTGTGCATCACTGCCATTGTGTTTTGTATTGCTGTTTGGCAGCTGTGTAGTTACTCACGTTTATTAACTTGCAAGTTAGATTCCTGAAAGGTCTTCTAGTGATAAGTTTCTCAGTATAGGTACTGAAGACTGTGAATTACAGACGTGCTTTTTTCAGTTAATTAAGTATTTGGAAGGTATTCTTGTCCATAGTACCCTTGTCACTAGAAATCCCTGGACAGCGGTTGGAAACCACTGGTCTAGCCTGGAACATGTAGGAAGGAAAACATGGCACTGCAGGAGAAGGAACCACAAGGTGGCAATCTCTCGCCGCAAAAAAAAAAAAAAAAAAAAAAAAAAAAAAAAAAAAAAAAAAAAAAAAAAAAAAAAATCGTGGACAGTAACTGGGTAAAGCTGCAGTTGGTCACATCTTCTATCTTCCAGAGTCACAGCAACCTTCGTTTTGATGCTGCATTTTCTCTTCCGAACGCTCTTCCCTTTAGTACGAAAATCTCAGTCTTGAGGAGCTGGATCTGTAGGCTACTCTTTGCTGGCTTTTCCATCCTTTGCCCCCAAATAGGCAGCAGATGTTGCTTGTTAGATTGCTAACTACCGGTGGTGCCTGCAGGCAGAGCTACTGTGCGCTTGGAGAGAAAGTTTCCTCCCGCACTGGAGGCACTGTCTGGCTCAGGGCATTGCTAACCTCAAATATACTGATGTACAAGATAATGGTTGCACCAGCACCCTGCTTGCTGCTCTGATGTGCCTCAATGGGAGCAAAATCACCTGGATGTTAGGACCAGGCGGTGACCTGCAGGCTGAGAGTGTGTTTGGCCTTGAGGGGACTGCAAAGCCACAGTGGCAGCGGCTCCACTCAGAGAGAGATGTGGCCAGAGGGGGTAAAAACTCAGAAGGGAAGTAATGCTCAGTTTAAGGTAGAGCCTCTCTGCTCTGCAGTATCAAACACCATCTGTTGCTATGAGCTCCATCTCGACCAGGACATAGTTGTGTTCTTGCCAGATGTTAGCTTACATGTGCTACATGTAAAAGTAAACTGGTGTGAAAGCTGTGGTCAGATGTGCTTTCAGTAGGATTTGCCCTGCATAAGTGACGACGTGCTAGCCAGCCTCTTGCTGAGAGGATGCACTCCAGAAGTTGCAGGTGTGTGGTTGGAGTGCGTTCAATGAGTCAAGATAGGAAATATCTTCCAAAGCTCAAAATAAGACAAAACAAACTCAGCTTTAGCACATGCTCAATTCATTGAATCTTTGGCAAAGTATGACATGAATTTGCAATGTTCTCACTGAGGCCTGTCCTGGCTGTATCCTGTCTGGTGAGTCCTTCAGCAGGCACAGCATAGTTGTCCTTCTTATGCTGAATCCTACTTCTTTTACCTGTTCTTCCCAAACTCGTCAGTTAGGAATGACAACCTGATTCCCACTCACCAGCACTGTTCAGGTTCTGCTTTTACACTGTGTCTGCCACCACTGAGATCCCTCTTGTGTCACAGCCCGCAATATCCACAAACCTGCCAGGGGTGCCTCCTCTAGTCACCGCTGTCCTCTTCCAGCTCTGGCTGTTCAGGTCCAGGCAGGACCTGGAGCAAGTGAGAAGCATGGACATGGGGAGTTCCCTAAAGTCTCTTTACACCACCTTGACTTTAAGGTCTGAAATCGGAGTCCTGGAGGCCGTGGGTTGCAATTCACTTCCTTCCTGGTTGATGGGAGCCCAGGGGCTCTGCTGTCCGCTGGTCCTTTAGAAAAGGGCCAGGAGCCACCAGGGACTCCTAGTGGGGATAGAAATGTTAGCAATCCAAATCATGATGGGAAACAGAAGGAGTAAAAAAAAAACCAAAAAAAACCCAGATTTTTTCCTCCTCAGAAAGCAGGAGGAAATCTAGCAAGGACGAGGCTGGCTTCTCCTGGAACATATGTGCAATCTGATTGTCACTAATGCTCTGTAGCCAGCTTAGAGAAGATACTGTCCCTAAGTAAGTAAATAAGCACTGTGATGTGGGATATATGATAACTTCAGAAACAGAAGGAGTAAGACCCCAGGCAAGAGAGCTTCAAACAGTGTCCTTTATTTCCCCCTCCTTTTTCCATCTCTTAGTCTGTGGTGTTCAATTAACCCTCTTTCTCTATCCTGGCCATGATGGCTGCAGCTTTGCAAGGCTTTACCCAGCCTTCTGGATGATGATGTGTTAAGCACTTGGTTTGTGATAACCAGTTTTCTCCTGAAATGATACCAAAAGTCTGCTGTTTTGATTTAAACTGTTTTCCGAGCATTTTGGTTTGTAACAAAAGACAGTCCATTCCAAGAGAATCTAGCTTGAGGAAGCCATGAAATTTAATTCATCTTTGTGACTTAAATATATAATCAGTGACATATGGTAATAGTAAATACAGGGGGAAATGTCATTGTTTCAGTCAAATTTTTGCATTCAGTCAAAACCTAATAGTTGTAACATCAAACTGTATTTTCCATTGAACAGGAAATAAAGCATCATTTTTTCAAAGAAAATAGACATGCAATTGCATGCCAATTATATTGCTTATATAGCTTTATTTTTAGCTTTCTCAACTGTTGGTGTTCTAAAGGACCAACAGAAGGGGAACTGTGAAGGGAGAAGATACAAGGCAATACCCAGTTGCCCGTGGTAGAAAGGACAAAGATGTCTGTGCTTTGAATAAGTGCACTTTCCCTACAGGGCAATGCGGTTCTGTGCCTGGGTTAGGGACTCTGCACCTCACCCCTCACTTCTGCTGACATGCCAGCCCTTAAGCAGTGCTGAGGTGAGGACAAGTTCCTGTAAGGGCTCTGGAATTTATGCAGAAATAACATTGCTTTTTCTGGGCAATGGAAGCAGAGTATTTGGTTTAAAGTCCACCTGGCATCAGCCCGAGACTCCTCCCTCCATGAGTACAGGTCACTGATGTACTGCTGGCCTTTCCCCCTCATTCAGTGGTGCTCTCTTCTGAGCCTCCAAATTTCGTGGTTCCTTGTGAGCATTTAACTTTATTTCTACTTCATCTAGTTTAAGGCATGACCCATAGTTTTCTCCTCTTACTCTCTAGCCTTGAGTTTCATGTTGCTTCTGATTTCTCTAATGCACACCAATGGTTTGCAGCTTTGACATAGCTGATTTGTCCTGTCTTTGCCTGTAGCAGGGCCACGCTCAGATGTCTGGACAGAGCTGGTGACAGAGAGCTTATTTGCCCTATGCAAATAAATACAGCAGACAGGGGTTTACAATTTTATCATTACCTGAAATATTCCAATTCTTTTCTGTCTCTCTCACCCCAGCAGCTTCTCTGATTTGAGAGCATTTTGGCTGCTGTTCCTTCCCCTGAGCTCCATCTCCTCGTTGATTTCTGCACACAGTTCCTTCCTCTTTTTCATAATTGACTCGTTTGCTCCTCCAGTCTTGCACTTCATCCATCTTCTTACTTCCCCTCTCTGATCTAATTCTCATGTCCGCTTCCTCCATTTTTGCTGCGGGAATGTAAAGCATCCCTCCAGAAAAATAGAAGGTCTCTGTCAACTTTTACCATCCCCCTCATATTCCCTCTTCCTTCACCTCTATCATCTCCCCCAGATGGTGGGACAAATACTCACTTGCATTCATTCTCAGGCTTGTAAAATTGGCATATTCCCTGCTCTTTCTTTTTCACGTGATGATGTGAAACAGGAATAATTCTACACATTTCTCTGCTGCTCAGGGCTGGGCTCAATCTTAAGAAAAAGGTTTCCAAGGCTACTTTGGTCTTCAGGGCACAGCAGAGCTCCAGTCTCACTGTTGTGTTCTCACTATGTATCTCTTTGACTGTGACAAATTGCTGCTGTATTTGCTGCTTCTCAATATATGAAAGACACAAGTGAAATCAGACCTGGCCATTGATGAGTACAGAGAAGTTAATGGAGCCAAAGAGCATTCTCTGTCCAAGGGCACTGTTGTACACTGAAATGTTCTCAGTCGTTATGTGGGTTTTTTTCTGCTTGCTGAGGAGGCAAAGGGGATTTCTGTGTGCTGAGACAGCACCTGGTTTGAACCCCAGAGCGATTGCTACAGCTTTATGGAAATCGTGCATCTCAGTCTTTCAAGGATTTCAGACGTTCTGTTGGGACTTCAGCACTTTGGGATTTCACAAGTTGCCTCTATGGACAAATCTGCAGGACCAGGGTACCCTAGGCTTGTAAGAGAATTTTTGAGACCATGCATCGAAAGTCAGATAAAGTAAAACAATAAAGCAGATGAGGGAAACAATAAAGGCTGTTTATTCCAACAGAGTACATGGTATCTAACTTCTCACAGAGCTGGAAATTAAGTTACAAAAACTGAAAAAAAACCCTAAAAAAATCATTGATTGTTAGCTGTCTAAAACTCTGCTCCATCCTCCCAGTTTCATTCTGTGGTGTTCCACCCAGGGCGAGCTCACACACAACTTCACAACCTTTATGGCTCCAGCGCCTTTTGCCTCTGTTCCCCCCACCTTTTTTTTAATTTAAGAGCTCACACACAACCTCACAACCTTTATGGCACCAGCGCTTTTTGCCTCTGTTCCCCCCACCTTTTTTTTAATTTATTTTTTTTTTTTTAACAAGTTTCTTCATTATGCAGCTAGTGAGTGCAGAATGACTCTCAAAGAAATGTGCTCTATTTTCCTATGGCTAGATTTGGAAATACCAGTTTGTGTTCCTTTCACTCTGGCAAAAATGCAAAGACAACATTGCCAACTGTGCTTTTCCTGAGCAGGCCGTTGGCTTTGATCGATGCCTTGCCTTTGGCATGTGTGGAGGGAGGAAGCTCTCTCAGTAGGCTTGCTTTCCTCCTGCTGTGCCTGAGCTCCCTAACCAGCCAGTCCTTCTAGCTCAGACAGGGGTATTTGCTTTTTACAGAACTTCCCAGATCACTTACATTAAAGAGCAATATGTGGATGCTGTATTAAATCAAGCAACTGACCTCTGTCTGTTTGATCAGGTTAGACATGATACATAAACAGGCTAGAAAATGGTTTCAGCAGTGCAGTTCAGGCTGTGACACCCACCTTGAGACACTGGCAGTTTTAGGAGGTTGCATTCCAGACGTTAAGGCTCTTGTGGTGAAAATGATGTACACAGCATTGCAGAAAGAGCAAAAAGCTCAGTAAAAAGAATCTGTCATGCAATTGCATGCTCTGATGATCACAGCTTTACCACATTCACTGGTCTTGCTCTTCTAAGAAATTGTCATACCATGCTACAGGGCAGAAGCTTAAGAGCTTGAAAAGAAAGTGTATTTTTGTGAAGTATGGGTAACACTCTTAATTTTCACTTGCTGAATTTTCTCCTTGCTGGCTTCTTTTAGAGCATCCATAACTCAGATTTACTTGACAGCACTAAAGAAACAGACATGGTTGATATCTTGGGAATCAAAGACATGATGATTTTTTTTTTTTAAGGGCTGTCTAGCCTGTTTTATCCTTCCCAGCCTAATGGAGGTTTGTTTGGTACAGGACATCCTCTGATGATAATAACTTTCATCATTTATGAGCAAAGTTTATTCTTTAGCGAACTAAAAATGTTCCTCCTAAGGAGATTTCCCCCATTTTCTTTTGGGCCAATTTGTATAGCCTGAGATCTGAGTTTGGATTTCCGTTGTGCTTTTTCTTCTCTCTCTCTCTCTCTCTCTTTTTTTTTTTTTCCATCTGAAGAGGTTTCATCTGCTGAAAACCTTCAACAACTGCTCAGACCATTTACAAGAAGCACTTTCACAGGCAGTAGCTCTACAAAGGAGAGGAAAAATCGAAGTGACTACCTATAATAATGAAGTTAAATGCAATTTTAAGTGTTTGTGAACTGCAACTGACTGAGAGGGTGCCAAATATTTTGCAAATATATACAAAAAGACAGGCCCCTGCTCTAATCAGCTTGTAAATTAAAAGAAAAGTACATTGGCAAGAGCAGAAGAGATGATATGACATGCTTTAAATAGTTTATAGGGAGCTGGAGAATTGTTGTTTATTTGGTGATGTTGGGAAAATATTTAATGTGCTTTGGTTAAGCTCTTTATAGAAATGCTTCTCCTCCCCCAGTTTTCTTTTCCAGTGACTGTTTTGGAGATCAAAACCAGCAAGTTTGGAGTAGATGGAAAACGGAGAACCCTATTTCGAAATTGACAAAACCGCGAGTAAATCTTTATAGATACTTTTTATGTGAGTCAGGCTTTCTAAAGTAATTATCGTAATATAAGAAAGGATCATCGCTTCGCCGCCCCTGCGGACGGCGAGCCAGGGTCGCAGCTGGTGTAAATTGAGATACCTCCTATCTGCTGTGCGTGGCTGGGGAGGAGGTGGCCGTGGCCCCTCTTTGCGGGCTCCGGGGCCGCTCCCGAGCTGCGCCGGGCGGCGGCGGCTCCCGGGACCGGCGGCTCCCGGGCTCCCCGCGCCTCCGCTGCTGCCCCGGCGCTCGCAGATAACCAAGTGATTTTTAGCGTTTAAATGTTTTCTGTAGCAAGCCCACAATTTATTGAAAAACAGGCCCACAAACAAAAAAAAGCCCGAAACAGTGTATTTCTAGATTTAACTTGCAGCTGCTGGGGTCAGATGCAAAGTGGGGTGCAATTGCGTTTGCGAGGGCACAGGGTTGGGGCAAGAGCCCGGTGTTGGTTTGGAAAGCTCAGACAGGTAAATGAATATTTCCTTTAACGTCGTCTTCCCAGAATCTGAAGGTGACTCCAGCATTTGGGAGGTTTTTTGCCTCTTTCCCTGCTGTTTAATGTTGTTGGTGATATCTCCGCAGATAAGCGACTTCAGTGCATCCGGAGTTTGCGTTCAAAGCAGAGACTAATTGTGTGGAACTTTTCAGAATAAACATATTTCTCTTTCGAAGTAATGTGTTTGTAAGGAAAAAAATTATATTAAAAAGAGGTTAAAGTGGATAATTTGTTTAGTTTTTGTTTGTGGTTCTTTCCCCCCCCCTTTTAGTACAGAACACTGGAATTTCGTTTGAAATAGAACCATCCTTGGAGGGAGGCACGATACAAAATTTTGGCCTGCAATCACAACAAATACCCCTGAAGTCTTGATCTCATCTTCTGAAAGCATAGAAAAAAAATTATTAAAAAATAACGAGATAATTTTGAAATTCATGTTCCTCATTTTGAGATGACCCAAAAAACTGCGCAGCTTCTGAAGCGGAGGATTTATGTCCTGGGTCAGCTTTAAGTGCTATTGCAAACCTCGGCTGAAGTGTTTGCAGCCGAACACAAATTTCCAGGCTTAAATTGCCTTCTTCCTGTGCCGGGATGCCAGGGCTTTGCACAGCCGAAATTGCACAGCTCTTTTTCCCCGGATCCTCTTACTTATTCCAGCGCTCAGAGCCCTCTGCCCCGGGCACCCTTTTGCTGCTCTGGGTCAGCCTGCGCTGCGCTCTGCAGCCTCTTCGGCTTGAGCCCTGCTCCCGTCTCCGCTTTGGCGGGATGGTTTCACGGCAAATCCTAGTTCGTGTGCTCCCCGCTCACCCCTAGCAGAGCCAGAGGTACGTTTCGTGTTTCCCCACGCGTTACCACGGCGGCTCCGTACGGCCGCAGCCCTGCCCGAGTGAGCCGGGACGGGCAGGGGTGGCTGCCCCTCTTGCCTTGTGGCGTTTCAAGGGCAGAGGGACAAGGGAGAGTGGAGATTTCCGCCGGAGACAGCGCTGTCCGCGGGCTTCACCGGGCCCAGGCCGAGTGCTTCCCCTCTGTGCGGGGCTCCGCCGAGCGCGCCGAGCTCCGGGACTCGCCGCCGGCGCACCGGGGCCGCTCCCGCCGCCCCTCGGGCCCTCGCTGGGGCGGTCGGGGCGCGCAGGTGGCTCGGCACGGACACCGGGAGAAGCTGGAGAGGGTTCCCAAGGGCGGGCAGCCCTGCCGGGACAGCGGGCTGCCCGTGCGCTCGGAGTGCCCCTGCTCCGGCTGCCCGGGCCGCTCGTACCCGACCCGCCGGCGTCCCCGGAGGCGGCTGGCGGGTCCCCGGCGCTCGGCCACTCCTGCGGCGAGATTGACGCCTCGATGCCGAAGCCGCCCTGCTGCCCGCAGCCCCGGCACCTCCTGACCGCGGCGCGGAGGGTGTCCGCAGGCGGGTGCCGGTCCCCCGCCGCGCCGGGCCCCTCACCAGCAGATGGTGCTGCGGCCGCCCCATCCCCGGGGCTGCGGGGCCCCGACGGACCGCACCTGGCCCGGCTCAGCCCTCCCGCCGTCCGCCCCCCGTCCCCGGGCCGGCAGCGGCACCGGGGCCCTGCGTCCATGGCCTGGGCGACGCGGGAACTGGTGCGGGCCGCGGCGGCCGAGAGCCCGGGAACGGGCGCGTTGCGTATCCCGGAGGCAGCAGACTGCTTGTGGGAGTTCGGGGCTAGCCCGGGAAGCGGCTGCTGACGGAGAGGATGTTCGCTGCGGATGGACATTCCTTGAGGCTCCCGAGATTGTCGGCAGCCACCACCGATCCCCGGCCCGGTGCCACGACCTTGCGCCCAGAGCTGGCAACCACAGCCGTCTGCACTTCTGCAGTGCGCAGAGCCAGGTTCATCCTGCCACGCTCCGTCCAGGAGGCAGCGACGGAGGGCTGGCCCCGGCACGGGGGTCCTGTCGGTGTCATCAAACCGTGGTGTCCTTTCCGCCCCCGATGCGGACGTTTCCACACCAGGCACTGCTGCTGCCGCCCCTCTTCTTTCCCTGCCGCTGGTCGAACACCGATGGGCCCGGAGGCAGGCGGGAAAAGGCGACCGGCGGCTCGGTTCCCCGTGCCCCGGTTCCCCGCAGTGCCCGATGGCCTTCGTGCGAGCACCGGCCCGGTGCTCCGGGCTGCTGGCGGCCCCCAGCCCCGCTGCGTCCGTCGGGTCCCGCGGAGCCTCCAGCGCTGAGCCCCGAGGGCCTCGCCCAGCGTCGCGGGTCCCGGCGCAGTTTGGAGCTAGCTCTTCCTTCAGGTAGTGTTTGGGGCTTTTTCCGGGGTGATTACCACCCCCCCCCCCCCCGCCGCCCCCCCAGCCAGGGCCGTCCTCGCTGCCTTACCTCGCTGTCTCTGTCGTTCCTGCAGCCGGCGACCGTCTCGAACCGTGCTGGCCGGTCCCCGCGCGCGGGTCCCCGTCCCGAGCTCTCCGGTGTCTCGGTGTGCCGGCTCCGTCCCGGTTTTGCGTGGTGCGGAGCCGAAAACGTCCCCCGGAGCCGGCGCAAAGCGAACGCTCGGGGCTGGCGGGGCTGCGGCAGGGCGGCGGGCCCCGAGCCGAGGGGGTTAAACCAGGAGCCTCCCCTTACCTTCAAAAAGTTAAAAATGTCTGCAGCCTGCATCTCTTAAAGGGGCGGTGCTGGCTGCAAGGAGTCTTGGCACCGGCTGCGAGAAAGGCTGGTCAGGGGCGTGAGTTCCCCTCCACCAACACCAAAACATTGCAAAAAAAGGCAGAGCGCCCCACACTTTAGATAAGGACAATTAGCCACCAGCGAGCCCCTGCAGACAGCGAGTTAATTAGGGGTTTCCTGCTCTCCGGCATGCCCTGTCCCAGCTCCTGCCCCCCAGGGCTCCTAGCCCTGATGGCACCTGGGCTGGCCCTCATGGCCACCTTCTCGCTGCCTTCCCAGGCTGGGGACAGGAGAGCAGTGCCGGTGGAGAAACCTCCAGGTGTGAAGGGAAGAACTCTCATTCTCCTTGATGTCAACACCAAGAGCCCTGTCAGGATAATCAGTGAGAATTTCCTCTCCCTGCAGCTGGACCCCTCCATCATTCATGATGGCTGGCTCGATTTCTTAAGGTAAGGCAGGAGCCCCCCGGCGCCCTCCCCACGCCGCCCGCGGGGCGCCCCGGCGGCCCCGCCGCCCAGCCCCACCGGGCTCCGCGCTGCTGGCGGCGCTTGTTGTGACGGAGGGAGCGAGGCCATGGTTTCCATTAAGATGCACATGTTTGCAATGGAGAAAGCATTTCGGAGACTTATCAGTTATGACTGCAAAAATGTCGTGCTCCCCTCGCTCCAGCAACCGCTCCTCTGCAAAAAAGCACAACACGGGGCCGAGGCAGCACAGGGGGGAAAAAAAAATCAAAATGGAACAAAAAACAGCAGTAGGAACGGGGCCGCCTGCCGAGCCGAGCCGAGCCTTCCCCGGGTCCCGACGGGCAGAGAGCGGGTGTCGGCCAGGTCTTCTGAGCCCTCCGCTCCCCGGACTTCCAGCCGAGCGCGGGGGGCAGAGCCGGGCTGCAGCTGCGCTGGGCTCCACCGGCGGTGCGGAGCGGCCGCGGCCTGGAGGCGCTGGGACGGCCAGAAAGCCTTTTCCCTGCTGGGTAAGTCGGGGAGGGAGAGCGGGTCTCCTCCGCACGCCCGCTCCGAGGGTCCTTTCGGCAGCCGGGGAAGGAGCAGGGCGAGGATGCGGGAAGGCGCGAGAGAAGCGGAGCCGGGACGGCTCCCGCTTTCCTCCCCTCCCCGCTCCTCTCCCCTCCCCGGCGGCTCGGCCCGCGGCACGGTCCCGCGTGGCGCTGAGCGCCTCTGCCTCCTGGACGCCGCTGCACTTGTCCGGAGGGCGCCGGCAGGACGGGGGGGAGCCGGGCCCGCCGGCCTCCGGGCCGCCACCGGCGGGCGGGGCGCTCCCCGCTCCGGGGCCGCTCCGCTCGGCCCGCGCACAGCCCCGCAGCCGCTGCCACCGCGTCGCACTGCCCCGGGCGGGGCAACGGCGGGTCCTCGAGCCCCGTGGTCCCCGGTCGCTGGCGGTGTTGGGGAAGCGAGGACCCGGCCCGCGGCTTCCTCAGCCCTCTCTCCTCTCCCCAGCTCCCGGCGGCTGGTGACCCTGGCGCGGGGCCTGGCCCCCGCCTTCCTGCGCTTCGCGGGCAAGAGGACGGACTTTTTGCAGTTCCACAACGTGAAGAACCCGGCCAAGAGCCGCGGCGGGCCCGGCCCCGACTACTACCTCAAGAACTACGAGGACGGTGAGCGCCGGGGCCGGGGCGGGGGGCGGGCGCTGCAGCGGGGGGCTGCGGGAGCCGGGCGGTCCCGCTCCGCCTGCCCCGCTCTCCCCGCGCCCGGCGGGGACCGGGCAGGGGAGAATTCCCGTACCCTTTCTTTCCCGAGAGAGGGGAGCCGAGGAGATCGGCGGACCTCGCTCTCCCCATTGCCGGTGGATTCGGCGGGTGTCGGGCCCCGGGAACAAAAGACCAGCACTGGCGAGCGGGACTTTTCACATTCCCCCACCCCGCTGCGTCCTCCGTCTCCCCTTGCCCCCGAGCCCCGGGCAGGCAGCGCCGGCCGCAGAGGACACTTTGCCGCGGCTCCGGGCGGGGCCAGGCATGGCAGCGCCGGGATGCCCCGTCCCCGCTCGTCCCGCGGCTCCCGGGAGCCCTGCCTTTCCGCACGGACCTCGCCCTTGCGCTCCTTTCTGTGCCGCCGCAGCCCCTTGGGCTCCCGCTGTCCCTCCGGGCTCGGTGCCCGTCGGTCCCCGCGTGCCGGTGTCCGGTCGGGGCTGCTCCCCCTCCGAGCCGCTCGGCCGTCCGAGCTCTTTCCAAAGTCACCGCCTGGCCCCTGCCTTCCCGCTGTTCCCCTCTTCGCCGTCTGCCCTTCTCCCCATCGGACCTCAGCACACAAAAGGCTTTCACCTTTCGCGGCCCATAATTCACACAAAGAAACTGAGCAGAAAATTTAGGGCCGTATCTCCATCCTAAGGCATTTATATTAAGAAGCAGAATACGATGTCCACATGCAAGAATTTATTGATTTTTCTCTCTTGCTTAGTTTGTTTCTTTTTTTAAAGAAACAAGCGCGCTTTTTTTGCTTTTTTTTTTCTTCTTTTTTTTTTTTTCTTTTTCCTTTACTCAACGACTTAAAAAAATTAGCTTAAGATTTTTCCATAAGTAATTTTGAAGGCCAATTAATGCCAGACAGATCCCACTGGGCAGGTCTGTGGAGCAGAGGAAATTTTGCAGAGATCCAGTCAGCAGCAGTCCTGAATGGAAAAAGCAGATGCATTTGCCAGTTTTCTGATGGCTCTCACTCCTGCTGTTTCCCTACATAACATCCCTGAGATGAATGTCCTTCTATTCCCACACGCAGGCAGGTGGGTAAGTTTTTGTATTCCATCTTTCATTTGCTCTCCTAGCTGGGGCAATCCCGATGTTATTCCGTGTTTTTCTTCTTGTAACAAATCTCAGTCGAAGGGTTTGTTGTAAACTTTGCCTGCTGAGATGCACTTCAGGAAAAAATGCTGACCAAACTTGCCACAGACACCTTGTACAGTAGAAATTAAGTGTCGTGCATAAAGTTGTGGATGGGACTCATACAAAACATTTGTAAGAATAAATTTTCCCACCTTCCATATTTCAACAACTTGCAGGAGAGAACTTACACTTATTAAATGTCTTCACAACAGCTTTCATGTTAAGGAAGGACTGAAATATTTGGCTTTTTTTTTTTCACAGTTTTCCTCATGGCAATAAAATTGAAATGTAGCAGCCTTCAAAATGAAGCTTTTCATAGAAGTTGTAACCACAGGTCTTAACTTTTCATCACTTAAATATGGAACAGGACCATTGTGCATGTGGGTGAAGGAAGGGGAAGACACATGTGGTGTGTATCAAGCATTGGTGTAAATCAGAAAGGTGTGGTAACAGGGATTTCCTGCCTGGAAGCAAAGCTCTCGTATTTGTTCTTAAGATCTGTGTGCAAGCTCCAGGGTCAGGGAGTTTCACCCTATTTGGATAAGGGCTAGAGCTGCTAGTAGCTCACATCCTTTTGTGCTGAGGCTGCACTAAGTACTTCACTAGAGGGATCCAGGTCTCCAAAATGAAATCCTGATGCAACCACAGCTCTTTGCCCTGCTGTCCTGGGTATGAGCAGCCACCTTCTCCATTTGGAGCCCTGGTTCCATTTTTGTTCCCTCACCTGTGGCTCACCCAGGACCTGGCTGGAATCAGGACATGCAGTTTGCTCTTGCTGCTGAGGACTTACAGCTTCAACAGACAGCACAGAAAACTGATGGCAATCAGCACCTGAGCATGAGGGAAGCCAACAAGCATCCTGCTAGGTACTTTTCCTTCTCCCCAAGCTGTCTGGGCTGGTTGAAGTAGTTTTCCATGTCCATGGGCTTTTATGTGTCCAGTACCTATTTTCTGAAATTTCTTATAGTGGCATGGGAGTGGAGAAGATGTTGGGGGGCTTGATTAGTTAAAAATGTCAGAAAACATTTAACAGAGAAATCAGTGAATTTTTAAGTCTTATGCAGCACCCTAGTGATCTTTAGGGATGTGATAAGTGACTGCTTGGTTGTTTTCTGCTTTGAGTGTTTGTCTTTTTGCCACTTCTGCCTGTGGGTTCACTCAGACTCCAGGCCTGTGCCCACAGAGTCTGGGCTCTCTTTGCAGCCCCCACGGGTGCTCCCATGCCTTGTGTTCTCCTGTGGCCTGTCCACAGAGGGGGAGAAAAGGGCCCTTATGTTCCTCTAAGCTGCAGCAACCCACAGAGTGCGGGGCTGAGAGGTGAAGGGCACGTGTGTGAGATTGCTCGGAGAACTGCAGTTACAAGTGAGTGACTGTGAGTGGTGTTCACATCACAGGCAGCTGCACCCCACTGTGTGCTCACAGGCCACGCTGGTGTGGCCCTCAGGCATTCAGATGGGAGGCAGCAACAGCAACAGGACTGCTTCGTATCATCCTTCATGGACCCTGTGACCATGCTTGCTAGAGTTGGAATGAAGCTCTGTACAGGGATCTTCATCCTGTAAACCCCCTGTGCCACCCTGGTGCTCTTCAGGCCAGGTACTCCTCACTGTTCCCTTTGATGTTTTTTTCTGTGTCTGTGGTGCTCTGCCTTCCTGACTATCAGACCTCCTCAGAGATTGAACTTACTCTTCTCCTGCTCTTAAAATTGTATTATATTCCCTTTCAAATGGTCCCAACTATGCACACCTCCACCTTCTGGAAATTGCTCATACCTTGGCCTGCCTTTGGGTTCAGCAACCCATTTTTTCCCACTTCTTTCTTTCACAGAGTGTGGGTACTCTCTGAGGGTAGTAGTAGTTGCTTTTGTCTTGTATCTAAAATGTGCTTAGTTTTCCTGAAATAAGGTTCCTCCTTTATCTTTCAGGGTAACTCATTTCTTGTTCAGATTATTCCTGGAAACACAGACCTGGAAGTATTGTGTGTTAGCAGGGGTGTATGATATCTGTCCTTTGCATGTGTGAACAGCCTCACCCCAGTCTAAACTGGTCATGTTTGGGCAGCAAAGGTAACAGAGTGGTGCATGCTCTGTGGTTACTGCCTGGGGTGCCCATGAAGAGGGTGCATGTGGCAATTTGCTTCAGCATGGCGTATAAAACCA